AAAGCAACACGGACCCTGCTCAGTAGTAGTTTTCTCTTCGAATTCTAACTGCAATGCATCAGTTGGTACTGAACTAGGGACTAATGATGATGATGATGGGATATTTATATAGCGCACTAATCCACACAACTAGTATGTACATGCTCAAATACGCTGTCCTTTATACCTGTGGTGCAAGCGGCAACTATATAACCTCTTTCTTTACTTTAGGGCTCAAACACTGGCTTGTTTTCTTGTGCCACATCTTAAATTGTTTCACACTAGTTCAGAGGTCGTTTATAGTAATTATGTAAATAAATGGAAGCATGAAGTATCGCAAGCAGGCAGTAACACTGGAAGTAGTTGAAACAAACTGAGAACCTATTATACTTTTACATGTGAATTTGGTTTTGAATTTTAAAGGTAAATAGTCTCGTCCATATAAAAGGACACTTAGCGTTGAAAGTTGGTTGAAATCTCAAATTTGATGACTGGTTCATTACCACCGTTCATTCATTTTCCTATTCAGGTTTTTATTGCAGATAAAAACAAAGAAAAACATGTGGTTCCGTTTCCTTGTTTTTATTTAAGAACTGCGCAAAATGCACTTTCAAATTTCACACATAGCAATAGGCCCTCTAACATTATTACTCATTTAAAATTTCAAACTCTGAGTTTGTCCATGTTAAGCATTTTGATAACATTCCAGGGCCTGTTCTACTCTTTGCATTATATTTTAATGTCATATATATGTCATGTGATATGGTAAAATAATCTTTCTTATCTGAATATGTAACGGTTTTCAGTTTAGTGATATTACTCTTATCTAACTGCAAGCTGTAACATGCTATATATTTTAATGATTCGTATTAATAAAGGGTGTAATATATTAAATTTAATCGATTTTGTGATCGTTTTGTCGTGAAATGGAATATGTAGTCACCGGTACATTTTCTCTGAGACTCCAAATTGCTTTCAACGTTCCAAATTGGAATATTTATCACTCTCACTGACTTTTCACATTGATAACCACAATACCACTGAAGTACTGCCTATTGTAACGGCAGGTGCACGTCTCGTGGCACACACCTAGTTAGTACTGACTTTTAACGGCAGGTGCACGTCTCGTGGCTAACACCTAGTTAGTACTGACTATTGTAACGGCAGGTGCACGTCTCGTGGCAAACACCTAGTTAGTACTGACTATTGTAACGGCAGGTGCACGTCTCGTGGCAAACACCTAGTTAGTGATGACTATTAACGGCAGGTGCACGTCTCCTGGCAAACACCTAGTTAGTACTGACTATTGTAACGGCAGGTGCACGTCTGGTGGCAAACACCTAGTTAGTACTGCCTATTGTAACGGCAGGTGCACGTCTCGTGGCAAACACCTAGTTAGTACTGACTATTGTAACGGCAGGTGCACGTCTCGTGGCAAACACCTAGTTAGTACTGACTATTGTAACGGCAGGTGCACGTCTCGTGGCAAACACCTAGTTAGTACTGAGTATTGTAACGGCAGGTGCACGTCTCGTGGCAAACACCTAGTTAGTACTGACTATTAACGGCAGGTGCACGTCTCCTGGCAAACACCTAGTTAGTACTGACTATTGTAACGGCTGGTGCACGTCTCGTGGCAAACACCTAGTTAGTACTGACTATTGTAACGGCAGGTGCACGTCTCGTGGCAAACACCTAGTTAGTACTGAGTATTGTAACGGCAGGTGCACGTCTCGTGGCACACACCTAGTTAGTACTGACTATTAACGGCAGGTGCACGTCTCGTGGCAAACACCTAGTTAGTACTGACTATTGTAACGGCAGGTGCACGTCTCGTGGCAAACACCTAGTTAGTACTGACTATTGTAACGGCAGGTGCACGTCTCGTGGCAAACACCTAGTTAGTACTGACTATTGTAACGGCTGGTGCACGTCTCGTGGCAAACACCTAGTTAGTACTGACTATTGTAACGGCAGGTGCACGTCTCGTGGCAAACACCTAGTTAGTACTGACTATTGTAACGGCAGGTGCACGTCTCGTGGCAAACACCTAGTTAGTACTGACTATTGTAACGGCAGCTGCACGTCTCGTGGCAAACACCTAGTTAGTACTGCCTATTGTAACGGCAGGTGCACGTATCGTGGCAAACACCTAGCTAGTACTGAGTATTGTAACGGCAGGTGCACGTCTCGTGGCTAACACCTAGTTAGTACTGACTATTGTAACGGCAGGTGCACGTCTCGTGGCAAACACCTAGTAAGTACTGACTATTTACGATAGGTGCACGTTTCGTGGCAAACACGTAGTAAGTACTGAGTATTGTAACGGCAGGTGCACGTCTCGTGGCAAACACCTAGTTAGTACTGACTATTGTAACGGCAGGTGCACGTCTCGTGGCTAACACCTAGTTAGTACTGACTATTAACGGCAGGTGCATGTCTCGTGGCAAACACCTAGTTAGTACTGACTATTGTAACGGCAGGTGCACGTCTCGTGGCTAACACCTAGTTAGTACTGACTATCGTAAGGGCACGTTGATGAAGCAGTACAACCTGCTCTCGAACAACCCGCCAGATGCACTGAGATCCCGTATACTGATTGTGAGCCTGTTATGAGGCAATATTTTAATTACAGCTGGCAATCGAAATGGGATACAGAAACAACAAACAAGCTACGTGATATACAGCCGATCATGAGTGATAACAGTCTTTGATATCGATTGGCTTTAAATTAGTAATTGAGACAAGCTGGTTCTCGGCGCGAATAGCTTGAAATGTGCTGATGCAGCATAAAGCAATATTCATTCATTCATTCATTTACACAAAGGCTTGAAATATATAAGACAAATTTGATCTAACGTTATCATGAAATGTTAATTGATATGCCAAAACTCACCTTCAGATGTCACGAAGCATATGACAATGTCTTGTCAGTTCACCATGAAACATGTGTGGATACAACATTGATAAGACAATCATATTTTAATGTTTCTGTTTTAACAGCTTTTCACACTGGTTCATAGCCACAAGATTTGATCATTTTTCAAAGATATTGATCTTTATCACAAGATATAACTTTAGCCAAATTGTTAGTTTTTAACATTACTTGTATTTTTCCATCACAAGGGATAAGTATTTCATTGGCATAACAATGAAGGATCTTTTTAGTGTGAATTATCATTTAATCATTGCATTTTAAAAAGAAATGGAGTTATTAGATTTTTTATTAAAGTTGTGTAAATGGAAAAATGATTTATGATTAGTAGTTTGAATTAAGAACTGAGATTGTTGGTGGCTGTATCCTCGAAGGGGGTTAACGTATTGTAAAATTATTGTCCTCCTGAGAAGGTACGTAAGTCCCAAAACTTTCAAAGTAAATTCACACTTACTACTATTTTAACCGCAGTATATATGCCATTTTAAGTTATGGCTAGAAAGTAAAAAATTGCTAACACCTGAAGGGATGGTGTAAATCCAGCTGGGGTCCATGCGGGAAGAACGGTCCCGGGTTTTAAATTTCTCTTTGCTATAACCTAGTTGTTTTAATGCCCTTCGGTGACAGGTGTTTATAATTTACTTTTAATTATGATATATCTATAACTTGACTTAGTCACGATATGGCTGAAATATTGCCTACGTGACTGAAAAAAATCCTAACTCACTCACTCACTGTTCAATTACTCGTGACATATGACTAATATTTTATGCAGTCTTTGATATCGATTGGCTTTAAATTAGTAATTGAGACAAGCTGGTTCCCGGAGCGAATAGCTTGAAATTGGCTGATGCAGCATAAAGCAATATTCATGCATTCATTTACACAAAGGCTTGAAATATATAAGACAGATTTGATCTAACGATATCATGAAATGTTATTTGATATGGCAAAACTCACCTTCAGATGTCATACGAAGCATATGACAATGTCTTGTTAATCGCACAGAGCAATATTTCGAAGTAGATCCTTACACCGTTGTCAAGCTGAATGTGACTACAACAAGGTGATGAGAAGTATGTAGTGACAAGCAACAGATGAACACTACATGTAATTTGTACATAAAAGAGGTCCGGATCTATCTTATTCCAGTCTCTCTCTCTCTGTCTATCTCTCTCTCTCTCTCTCTCTCTCTCTCTCTCTCTCTCTCTCTCTCTCTCTCTCTGTGAGGATAAATGGGGGAAGATCTGCAAGGGTTAGGGAGTGGACGGAGTCACTGACTGCAAGTATGTGTGTGCGTGCATGTGCGTGCGTGTGTGTGTTTGTGTGGTGTTTTGTTATTGGGTAAGTGTGTGCTACTATGTTGTTGGAGGTGTGTCTGAATAAATATGATGTGTGGAAGTGTGGTTGGGGATATGTCTGTTTGAAGGGTGTAGCGGGTGTAAGTGTCTCTCTCTCTCTCTCTCTCTCTCTCTCTCTCTCTCTCTCTCTCTCTCTCTCTCTCTCTCTCATTGAGGAGGTGTCTGTAGGGGAAGGTGGGGGTAGTGTCAGTAGGGGGAGAGGGGTGGCAGGCTGGTGTGATGGCAGTTGAGCGATTGGGGTGGGTGGGGTGATCTTGAATGTGAAATAATGTAAGAAATTGCTCATATTAGGGGTTTTTAGTCAGTGTGGGATGCTTATTTGTGATCAGGCATAGACTGAGCTGGGACAAATGTGTAGCGCAAATCGTTACTGTTAACGTTTTGGTCGAGATACTGACACCGTTATCAAGATGTTAGTAGCTACACCGAAACGTGTTGTGCAAATCTATAGATATCATGTCATGAAGTGTTGAAGCATAACATACAGCAGTGAAACACCCCATGCTTCCCATATTACCCAACTATTTCCAAAAAATAAATATCGTATTTCCTAGTTTCATGGGCGTCTGATCATGTGATCCCATAGATATAGGATTTGTGTTCGTGCAATACGCAACTTAACACCCCTTTTCGTAAATGGACCTCCCTATTGCTATACCTCTATATATGGGAAGTTCAACTGTGATGAATCAGTAAGGCGTTGGCTCCACATTTACGTACAGCGATGGAACTTCCTACGCTGACCATTTTAGCAGTTATGCTTGTGTTGGGCCTTGCAAGATGCGAAGACTACTCTCGTTTCCTTGTCGACATCGTTGAACCAACAGGAGTCGCTGATGTGAAGACCACCATGGCCACTGTTAAAAGCATCTTGCAAGAAACAGCCGGTGTTGATTTCATCTTCAAGGTTAGATCCAATTTCATACAGTTGCTCAAAATGTATTGTGTGGATTCATGAGTATTCAAATAATGAATTGGCTGATACATTATCAAATGAAGTATAACGGAAAAAACAATGATTAAGAGGTACACTGTGTAAATTGATGTGCATTTGTGTCTTTTTGCAGGTATTTGGTGAACCAAGGGTATTAGCAAGTAAGTATGCACTAGACAGTCTACCTTATAATTGCTTCTGTTGATTTGTTGCGGGGTCCCATCCATAGTTGCAGCAGAGTTCCTTTTGGATATAAGAGGGTGATAATGACTGTTACCACATAGAGTGTTTTATAGATCCTGAAACACATTTCGAATTCATTGATTGTCACACAGGCAAACAATGGTAAATATTGAATGAATATATGAGTGACATAGTAGGTTCAGATAACCCAAAGGGCAGAAAACCTCGCATGAGCTAGACAATGCACCTAGTTAGCAATCAGCATTTAGTTTCTTTCAGTTGACACACTTAGTGTTCATGCTCTGTCATTTTTGGTTTTCTTTTTTTAATTTGTTTAACGCTACAAATATTGTTCATAACAGGAAAAGAAATTTAAATAGATTACATTTTTTGAATATGTCTGCAGGTAATTGGTGTAATAAAATGATCTTGGCTTGCTACACTAAGGTCGACCACTTACATGTAGGTTGACAGTCCTATGGCCAGGAAAGTACATATTTTGAATCGCCGTATATACAGGAAACTTGGGATATCGGACAACCGCATATGATTCAATAGGTGCTTTTTCTGTCCGTACTAAAGGTCAGTATACGGCTGCATTGTCCAAAGTACAATATTTTATCAATACCTTTTGAAAGCTGTTTATATTGACGTTCATGGTTGTATCAACACAACGATTTGTGGACACTTGCAAATTATTCTTTGTGAAATTACACAAATGCGTAGTAAATGAAGTAATTGGTTCCTGTTGGAGAGATACAAAAGAAAGTTCATGATCCCATAGTTTCTCTTTTTGCTATTGAAGGCTGACCCAAGACTTACCATATTATAGTTACATGACTAGGGATCTCTCTAACGCATGACCTCTCTTTAACTACTTTCCAGTTCTGCATATACCCAGCCTGTGCGATATGCGTCCTGTCGAAGATAAGTTGTTGGTGGCTAATCTGGTCTTCACTGTGAAATCTCTTTTCCTGGTTGAAAAACTTGCAGCTGATCTGGGGGTGAACAGAACCCTTATTGCAAGTGCCCCGCCTCCAGCGAACCTCACTGGAGACCACATTTACTTCTGGGATGTAATTTACAGAATGGAAGGTAAAACCTATTTTGAGTTTCGCCATATAAGTTCTAAAGGAATAATGATGTCAAGATGTATGCGAAAACAACACTTCACTCCCTAAAGTAATTATACAACCAATATTACATTATGTCATCGTATGTACTTGTGCATATCAGATCTAACCAGTGAAGAATACAAAGAGGAAATACGAGACAGTCTGGAGGAAAGCTTCAAGTACAGACTAGACAACCACCACAGTCTCATGTACAGAGTTCTCGGAGGGCTTCCTATTCAGGTATATTGTGGACTCGATAAATGTCTGTTTTTTGCTCGTCTGGATCGTTCCTTACGGTCCTGGTCCAAGCTCAGTTATTTACGAACAGGAACATGATATAAACAGAAGATAATCAAAAGCAACACTCATGGGTTTATTCTGCAGTTAATTATCTTCGATATATTGAAAACATCTTATGTGTCCAGTATTTAATTAGTGTCATTTCAATGAACGCATTAATAATGACATAATGATTTGTGTCCACACTGACGCAAACATATTTAAACCATCTGATCGTGTTTATAAAATGAACGAAAACTCAACATGGTTGGTTTTTTTATGTCTGTAGATGATGTGTTTTGTACCAATGGAACCAGAGGAAGCTGAACTGGTTGTCTGGCACTTCAACCGCCGGAAGCTGATTTTCACAGGAAAGGTGGTGCTGGTTCAGAACCTAGACGTTTATCTTAAAGGCTGTCAGTAATAATCAGTACTTTAATCTATAAAGAAGTCAATATCAGAAAGTTTTAGTTTGGCCTTGAATAAAACTTATATCAACTGAATGGTTGAACGACTCCAGCTATCATTGTATGTGTTGCAGTTGTGAATAAAGACAGAAAGGTACCCCTTGAGTATAAATTTTGTCAACATCTTTGTTGTTTTCATTCGTGTGCTAAATATTTATACATACGGATTCAAGTCAACAGGTCATGTACATTCCATCATGCATGAATGCCGCATGAGATGACAACCTGTAAATAAGCGAATCTTGACCACACAATCAAGTGACTGATAATGTGAGCTTTCCAAATACTTGCGGATCCCTTGAGGACATGGATGTGTCCGAAATTCATCCATTCATGTCGCTCACCAAAATTGTGTGGGGTAGATCCAAAATTAATCCTCCCAAAAGGTAGGTTATTCCAAAATATTGAACTGTGCAATTGTATAAAACTAATTACTAATTTCAATGACTTACAGTTTTGGTCAGGATTTTACACCCTCAGCATTCTGTGTGTTGGAAACAGTTAAATCCGTTGTGGTGGGACTTCCCTTGAACGTTGCTGTTATATTTTTATCTCTATATATTCCGAGTGTGGCGTAAAACTAAACTCACTCACTCTATTACCAACTGAAGAAACCCTGTATTGTTATGGTGATTTAAATGGCCATAACCTACTCTGTGGTGATACTACTACAAACACTGAGGGTAAATTGCTGGAATCCTTCATCACCAAGATGAACTTTTTACAAACCTGAACGTTTTATTGATGTTCCTGTCTTCTACAATTCCTCACATATTAATAGCATGGTTCAACGATGACTGCAAACAAGCCAGGAAGTTGAGGAAAAAGGCTGACCATTATTTTCGTCGCCAACCTTTGGTCCTCAATTTAAAATTTAAGATGTCAAATGCTGAAACACTGCGAACATGTAAACAAAGTAGACGTCAGTCTTGACATAATTATGTAGTTCACGTACGCCGATGTCTAAGTTGTGGAATATGATCCAGACAATATACGTTAAGGACTCCAAATCGAGCATTCACCATCTTAAAGATAGGGACCAATAATTAACTTATAAAGCAGATATTGCAATCAAACTTGTTGAAACTTTGGCGAAACATTCATACTCTTCTAATTTTGTCACCCCATTCCAAAAATATTAAAAAAACAGACAGAGATGGGAAATATCAATTTCATTTTAGACACAGGGGAACATTTCAAATATTCACAATTCATGAGCTCCATACTGGTCTTGGACTAGCTCCCGTTAATATACATTATCAACCCTTGAAGCACTTACGAAAATCCTGTTTAGAGATCCTTTTAAACATTTTTGAAGACATTTAGACGTCGGGAAAATTTCCCCTCTTCATGTCGTGGTGCAAAACTGTCCCAGTACCTAAATCTGAACTTCACCAATACTGGTACTTCAAATAATCAACTCAATCCATCACCACGGCCTAAGGCTTTGCCTTAGAAGCCTTCAAAACCTCACCAATTCATCGTTTATATGTAGCGGATGATGAGCCATTGCTAAAACAACGCAGTTTTAATTCTTCTTTACAGTATATTTCTAAAATACGTTCTATTAAGTCCAACCCTGCATATGACTGTGTTTTAATCCTCTTACAACCCTACAAGGCACCCGTGAAGAGCCACTTCTATCGTGGTGGGTGCTGGGTAACACTAAGAGCTCTTTAAACCCCCCCCTATTTGGTTCACCAACCTGTTTGCCGTGGGTTGCGCCCCTGTGTCGGTGGAGGACGGGAGCCTGGTGGTTGAGGGCACTGGGAGCCTGGAACCGTGTTCCTTTTTGCCCAACACACCACTTGGCCCCTTACTTCACCTACACGGGTGGTAGAACTGGCTGGTCACGCCATGCCCTGAGCAAGGAAATGTTCATGTTGACATTATTTTGCTTACATTGTATGTTGACACTGAATATTGTGCTTATTCTATTGTCAGTATAATAATTGCCTAGAGTCCTATGCCAGAAGGCGGTGGCTCATGGGCCACTCTGGTGAAATTGACCCCTGAATTCTCTGTTTCTTGAGAAATGTGTCAAGGGCCGAACCAGCCTGGCACATGTTCTTTTGGATATCATAGCTATTCATGTCTTTATTTACTGGAGTATGACATCTCTATAGCCCGGGTGTTACAGCCTGGCTCGCGCTGTAACGTCTTTGAGTGAGTGAGTGAGTGAGAGAGTGAGTGAGTATGGCTTTACGCAATATTCCAGCGATATCAAGGCAGGGGACACCAGAAATGGGCTTCACATATAGTAGTCTACACATGGGGTTAGGGGACCAGGTCCCCCCAAAGGGCTGAATTTAAAATTTGAGCCCTTGAGAAGTCCATAATCCCATAGCCCCATTGCGTATACTACTACTGAGGTGCATGCAAATTTGATGAAAATCGGTCAAATAGTTTCTGAAATATTGACTTTTAAGTGAGCATAGGGTCGGTCGGGAAAAAGCAAAATGTCCAACTTTAAGTCTTAATTAATCTAATGAAGTCATCGAGAGTGTTCCAAATGCCGTTTTGCTATAGCGTTATAAGAATCTCATTTTCGCTAGGGCTTCCCATTTTTTCAGCAACCATTTTTTTTCGACCCGACACCAAGGTTGCTCGAACTTCCAATTAGACATATGGAGTTGCTACAGTATACAGGATACACTCCGACAACAACAACTATGGGAAAACAAATCGCAGCAGCTTAACAAAAAATGGGCATTCGGTGCAGCAAATCGATCACACACCACCTCCTACTGGAAAACACACACGACAACAACCTCGTGTCCGATATCTCGACGGTAGACGATCTCGCCGGAAATCTCGGGGAAACCCACCTCCAACCACTCTCCGGTCTTCCAGCCTTTGTCGACGACCTCTTCGTGTTTGGCTATCTATCTCGCAAATACATCGTGCAGCACAAGGGAAGCGTCCAGTGTACAACGGGAGAACACGGCCACGCGAAAAAAATCGTCGGACTACTCCACTTGATACTATGCACCACCTACAAAGAGAGTGAACCGAAGCAACCAAAATGTATGCGACACTTCTCCACATGTGCAAAAGACGAGTGCAGGAGCTATTGCCAGCACGATTCAAAAGATCCAAAGCACACCATCCTGGACAACACCCACTCTGTCGGCAACCATGTTAGAACGTGGGTAGAGACAACAAAGTCCGGCAAAACGATGCGCACCAAGCTGTACAACAAGTCGTTTGCAACTTCGAAGCTGGAGAAATCCGAGAACCGATTGGCGGCCATCTTGCTGACTACGTGGATTGTCCAAACGAGCATCTCAGCAAAACCTTTCTCCACCCAGACGTACAACAACGAGGTTGCACTCACATAGAAGTGTCCCTGTACTCCTGCCAAGACACCGACATGTCCACCAACAGAGCAGAAAACGTTTTGCAAGATGTGTTGGAACGGGTTTTGCCAGCAGGTGACGGTCTATTCGTAGTACAACCAGCAGTAGCGCAGTGGTTTCGTCCCGCAGAAAAGATAGACCGCTGTTTGGTCCTAGCCGACTGTTCACAGCATACGATCTTCATCGCGTGGTATGCACATTCGAAAATGGGTCACGTGTCCGGAGTACACATTCGTCCAACCAACACAGATTCCTGGGAAAAAAACATCGACTGGGCCATAGGAGACTTCAGTTTTCGAAGGGTTCCAATATTCCGCGTGGACATCCTATCGGTAGAAGGAGATACGGTGGAACAGGCCCACTCTGATGCTATGCCAAAGGCAAAGACACCAAGACGGTGCTAGCTGCCAGCAAGAAGCCAACAGCTCTACATCAATCCGGCATGGATCCAGACATATTTCTCCTGACAACTCCAAACATCGAATGGCAATGGACACAGAAAAAATGACAAAAGCTGGGCAGAGAAAGATCCGACCAACCTTTCCAAGAAATGCCGAACATAGATGCCTATCGCAAAATTTCTACTCTGTCTACACAAACACGAGGAAGGAAATAGCTGGAGATACTGGAGTCTGAGAAGGCAGAAAATTGGCAACGAAGAGCCGAAAAGTCACTACAAAAGGTGATACCGATCCGGGAAGAACGAGCAGAACTACGCAAAAAGGAGATCGAAGCTCTGCAAGGCAGTTTCGCAGAAGTCACAGCATACATCCAAAAACGAAGACAATCCCAACTGCTTGTGGAAAATGCTCTCCGCAATATGGATACAAACAAAGTAGGGTCAATAGCCAGCCGATACGGCATTCTCAGCTTCCGAACCACCAACCATTTCACACGCATCGTCCTCCAATCGCGAACTGGCGAAATGAGCACTGTTTGGACTACGGCGGGGCTAGAAAGAGTACTACGACAACACGACTCCTACTTCGAGAGAACGAAGACAGACTGTTTCGAGTGACAAATGTATTGGTTGGTAGAAAAGGATTTCTCTCGAGACGAAGTGTACGAACACACCTTGCAAATTGAGATCGAATCCCCCGAAAGATCGTTCTTCGACAAAACCGGCAAAGACATTCGTTGGAAGAAAATACAGGTAGTGGCATCTCCTATGGGAAAGGAGTATCTTGACGAGCACAGGAAGATAGAGGAAATAGAGAACATGTCGGAATATGAAGAATATCGAGAACTACAAAAGGCTACGAAATCCATCGCCCAGGTATCGCCACCAAAAACGCCTGCCATCCAGAAATGTGTAGACTTTCCAGAAGGGATCTATGCCATCCACAGGTTTGCAAAACAGATGTATCGTGGGACCGAGCGAATTATCTGACAGACAGAGTCTATAGCTTGATTAACGGTTACAGGCCGGGAGAGCCACATTTCCGAAACAGATAGCCTTACTTGATGTGGCTCTCTCGGCAATAGTTACGGTTGCATGAACATGAAATGTGGCTCTCCCGGCTATGCTGTCAAACTGGCTTAGTGATTCAAACACGTTACCGTATTTAACAAAACAAGACATGTTTTCTCATAATTATATTTAGATCACAACAGGTTTTGTTTCTATTATTAGCACAATATAATATACTAATAGGTATATTACATATAATAATAATATCATATATTGATAATATATATGAATCTGTAAAACAAACCGGATGTATTTGTAAACCCCTTTCATTATACTCAATCCTGGATCATATCAAAATCTGAATCAATCCTGAAAGACCAGTTTTTACAATCGTGGACCAGTGAAATGAATAATTCATCTAAAGGACAATATTATAAAAAAATTATAAACTCACCTTCACTCGACAAATACTTACTGCTATCTGAAAATAAATTGCCAATAGAAAGTAGGAGATGGACGAATCTCGCAAGAAAAGAAGAGTATGTAACCCTTGTTACTCGCAGTTAACTGGGGATGAATTCCATTATATCTGTAGATGTTCACATTTTAGCCAACAACGCAACCACTCACCTAGAATATAGCTCTTGTTCCTTCCCTAATCTCTCTACATATAAAAAAATTGATGTCAAGTACTAAAATTTCAACAATCAAACACCTATCTAAATTTATCAAATGTATATGTTCTAGTTTTCAGTAATCATTGCGTATATTCCCTGTTACCTTCTTGCATACTTTGTATATTCTGCATTCTATTTTATGCACTCATGTACCAGCGGAGGTGGTTCCATTTTGAGTAATAAACTCTGAGTGAAGAAGCTAAACACCGCGCTTGTGAGTAGGAAAGATTACCAGTTTCTTGTGAAAACAATATTATACAATGTGGTTTAGAATCATAAATAGGGACAATCTTTTACCGGTATTGCTTAACACCACGCTTGTGAGTAAGAAAGATTATTCGTTTCTTGTGAAAACAATATTATACATGGGAACACTCTTTTACCGGTTACGGTAATCCATGAATTAATTAATCTATTGGAAATGTGGCCTTCCCGGCAATAGTCATTTTTGAAATGTGGCTTTCCCGGCCTGTCACCTGATTAACTCTTCATTGGCTCCAAATATTTAAAAGCAAATGGCCGAAAGAACTGATACAATAAATTACCATTTTGAAAAAGAATCTACCCTACTGTCATGAAATATTGTGGAAAATGTGCAATATTTTGAAATGGCTGAAATGAATAAAATAATCGGCTGATGGCAAGTAATCTTTTTGATCTCTGTTCGTGGCCATGAGGCAATTAAGGTATATGCAATAAATAAGAAGTTGTCGCCCATAATGTCGTACGCTTCGTTATTTACTCACCAACAATGCCGATCCAACGATATAGTTTACATAAATCATTTTATTATATCAAGTAATATATCTTTTTGTGCAAAAGGAAATTTACGACATTGTATATCACAAGTTGTCACATTTATATTCGGTGTTGTCAGTCAGTTCAATCATGTTGGTTAATATACAGCTCAGTGTGTGCAAATCTGTTGTAGAAGGTGAACTGTTTGTTTCTAAATGTACAGTGTTTTTTAGGGGAACCGTATCGATAAAATGAATGAGTGAGTGAGCGAGTTTAGGTTTGCGCCGCTTTTAGCAATATCACAGCAATATTATGGCAATATCACGGCGGGGGACACCAGAAATGGGCTTCACACATTGTACCCATATGGGTAATCGAACCAGGGTCTTTGGTGTGATGGGCGAACGCTTTAACCACTAGGCTACCCCAGGACCCCGCGATAAAATGAAGCAATAGTGACCACATATACTGTTACTGATGGTGTGGGTGGTGGTGATATAGTTTCAGGACGACTTGGACCAGAAGTAGGGCCTATTTGCGCTCTGCACTTTAAGTATAAGTGAGTGAGTGAATTTAGTTTTACGCAACTATATAGCGGCGGTCTGTAAATAAACGAGTCTGGACAACCCAGTGATCAACAGCATGAGCATCGATCTGGGATACGATGATATGTGTCAACCAAGTCAGCGAGAATAGCATCACGATCTTGTTAGTTGCCTCACGTTAAGGTGAGCACAATAGTTGGCTTGTTTTCCATGTATTTGTGAATCATTTTTGAGACGTTTGTAGGCACAGAAGCTGTCATGTTGAATGCCTCGTGAACGCCCTTCACTGATCCACAACTATCGTGCATGTTTTTGAAGAGCATGCATATGTTTAAGTTCTTTTGACCAGTCTGGTCCAAACTCGATTATTTACAGACCGCCACCATATAGCTGGAATATTGCTGAGTGCGGCGTAAAACTAAACACACTAACTCTTTTGACCAATATGGTTTAGTGTGGGGATTGAATCAAGAGGCTGGTAGGGTAGCATCACTTGCATTGCTGATACTCTCAACGATATGATATTTCGCATTAACATGAGAAGGGCTGTCTGTACTGGTGGTTACTTCAAGGTTGAGAGGGGCGGTGGGGTAGCCTAGTGGTTAAAGCGTTGGCTCGTCACGCCGAAGAACCGGGTTCGATTCCCCACATGGGCACAATGTGTTAAGCCCATTTCTGGTGTCCCCCGCCGTGATATTGCTGGAATATTGCTAAAAGTGGCGTAAAACTAAACTGAGTCAGTCAGTCATGGTTGAGTTTTCTAGAGGCAGTGGTTTCATACTCTCTGAAGATATTATCGTCACAGTTTTTCCAAGAAACTAGAGGTGTTATGGGTGTGATGTCAGTTGAACTATGACGAAGATTCAGAAACACAGAGAGTGGCAGATGGTCCGACACACAGTTGAAGTCGTCGTCTGGCTGTATGGTGAAGTCTGTGATGTAACACTCATGTTCCTTGGATACTAAATTGTGATCAGGCATAGACTGAGCTGGGACAAATGTGTAGCGCAAATCCTTACTGTTAACGTTTTGGTCGAGATACTGACACCGTTATCAAGCATCACATAGAGAAGTGATACATACCACGCTTGTCATATTACCCATCTATTTCCAAATAATAAATATCGTATTTCCTAGTTTCATGGGCGTCAGATCATGCGATTCAATAGATATAGGATTTGTGTTCGTGCAATACGCAACTAAACACCCCTTTCGTAAATGGACCTCCCTATTGCTATACCTCTATATATGGGAAGTTCAACTGTGATGAATCAGTAAGGCGTTGGCTCCACATTAACGTACAGCGATGGAACGTCCTACGCTGACCATTTTAGCAGTTATGCTTGTGTTTGGCCTTGCATGATGCGAAGACTACTCTCGTTTCCTTGTCGACATCGTTGAACCAACAGGAGTCGCTGATGTGAAGACCACCATGGCCACTGTTAAAAGCATCTTGCAAGAAACAGCCGGTGTTGATTTCATCTTCAAAGTTAGATCCAATTTCATACAGTTGCTCAAAATGTATTGTGTGGATTCATGAGTATTCAAATAATGAATTGGCTGATACATTATCAAATGAAGTATAACGGAAAAAACAATGATTAAGAGGTACACTGTGTAAATTGATGTGCATTTGTGTCTTTTTGCAGGTGTTTGGTGAACCAAGAGTATTAGCAAGTAAGTATGCACTAGACAGTCTACCTTATAATTGCTTCTGTCGATTTGTCGCGGGGTCCCATCCATAGTTGCAGCAGAGTTCCTTTAGGATATAAGAGGCTGATAATGACTGTTACCACATAGAGAGTTTTATAGATCCTGAAACACATTTCGAAGTCATTGATTCAATATTGTCACACAGGCAAACAATGGTAAATATTGAATGAATATATGAGTGACATAGTAGGTTCAGAAAACCTCGCATGAGCTAGACAATGCACCTAGTTAGCAATCAGCATTTAGTTTCTTTCAGTTGACACACTTAGTGTTCGTGCTCTGTCTTTTTTTTTTTTTTTTTAATTTGTTTAACGCCGCAAATATTGTTCATAACAGGAAAAGAAATTTAAAATAGATTACATTTTTTGAATATGTCTGCAGGGATTTGGTGTAATAAAATGATCTTGGCTTGCTACACTAAGGTCGACCACTTACATGTAGGTTGACAGTCCTATGGCCAGGAAAGTACATATTTTGAATTGCCGAATATACAGGAAAGTTGGGATATCGGACAACCGCATATGATTCAATAGGTGCTTTTTCTGTCTGTACTGAAGGTCAGTATACGGCTGCATTGTCCAAAGTACAATATTTTATCAATACCTTTGAAAACTGTTTATATTGACGTTCATGGTTGTGTCAACACAACAATTTGTGGACACGTGCAAATTATTCTTTGTGAAATTACACAAATGCGTAGTAAATGAAGTAATTGGTTCCTGTTGGAGAGATGCAAAAGAAAGTTCATGATCCCTTATTAGTTTCTCTTTTTGCTATTGAAGTCTGACCCAAGACTTACCATATTATAGTTACATGACTAGGGATCTCTCTTACGCATGATCTCTCTATAACTACTTTCCAGTTCTGCATATACCCAGCCTGTGCGATATGCGTTCTGTCGAAGATAAGTTGTTGGCGGCTAATCTGGTCTTCACTGTGAAATCTCTTTTCCTGGGTGAAAAACTTGCAGCTGATCTGGGGGTGAACAAAACCCTTATTGCAAGTGCCCCGCCTCCAGCGAACCTAACTGGAGACCACATTTACTTATGGGATATAATTTACAGAATGGAAGGTAAAACCTATTTTGAGTTTCGCCATATAAGTTTGCGATGTTCCGATTCATAGACAAAATCGTGTTCTAAAGGAATAATGATGTCATGATGTATGCGAAAACAACACTTCACTCTCTAAAGTAATTATACAACCAATATTACTTGTCATCGTATGTACTTGTGCATATCAGATCTAACCAGTGAAGAATACAAAGAGGAAATACGAAACAATCTGGAGGAAGGCTTCAAGTACAGACTAGACAACCACCACAGTCTCATGTACAGAGTTCTCGGAGGGCTTCCTATTCAGGTATATTGTGGACTCGATAAATGTCTGTTTTTTGCTCGTCTGAACCGTTGCTTAAGATCCTGGTCCAAGCTCAGTTATTTACGAACAGGAACATGATATAAACAGAAGATAATCAAAAGCAACACTCATGGGTTTATTCTGCAGTTAATTATCTTCGATATATTGAAAACATCTTATGTGTCCAGTATTTAATTAGTGTCATTTTAATGAATGCATTAATAATGACACAATGACTTTTGTCCACACTGACGCAAACATATTTAAACCATCTGATCGTGTCTATAAAATGAACGAAAACTCACTATGGTTGGTTTTTTATGTCTGTAGCTGATGTGTTTTGTACCAATGGAACCAGAGGAAGCTGAACTGGTTGTCTGGCACTTCAACCGCCGGAAGCTGATTTTCACAGGAAAGGTGGTGCTGGTTCAGAACCTAGACGTCTATCTTAAAGGCTGTCAGTAATAATCTGTACTTTTATCTATAAAGAAGTCAATATCAGAAAGTTTTAGTTTGGCATTGAATAAAACTTATATCAATTGAATGGTTGAACGACTCCAGCTATCATTGTATGTGTTGCAGTTGTGAATAAAGACAGAAAGGTACCCCTTGAGTATAAATTTTGTCAACATCTTTGTCGCTTTCGTTGGTGTGCTTAATATTTATACATACGGATTCAAGTCAACAGGTGATCTACATTCCATCATGCATGAATGCCGCATGAGATGACAACCTGTAAATAAGCGAATCTTGACCACACAATCAAATGACTGATAATGTGAGCGTTCCAAATACTTGCGGATCCCTTGAGGACATGGATGTGTCCGAAATACATCTATTCGTGTCGCTCACCAAAATTGTGCGGGGTAGATCCAAAATTAATCTTCCCAAAAGGTAGGTTATTCCAAAATATTGAACTGTGCCATTGTATAAAACTAATTACTAATTTCAATGACTTACAGTTTTGGTCAGGATTTTACACCCTCAGCATTCTGTGTGTTGGAAACATTTAAATCCGTTGTGGTGGGACTTCCCTTGAACGTTGCTGTTATATTTTTATCTCTATATTTTCCGAGTGTGGCGTAAAAGTAAACTCACTCACTCTATTACCAATTGAAGAAACCCTGTATTGTTATGGTGATTTAAATGGCCATAACCTACTCTGTGGTGATACTACTACAAACACTGAGGGTAAATTGCTGAACCTGAACGTTTTATTGATGTTCCTGTCTTCTACAATTCCTCACATATTAATAGCATGGTTCAACGATGACTGCAAACCAGTCAGGAAGGCGAGGAAAAAGGCTGACCATTATTTTCGTCGCCAACCTTTGGTCCGCAATTTAAAATTTAAGATGTCAAATGCTGAAACAGTGCGAACATGTAAACAAAGTAGACGTCAGTCTTGACATAATTATGTAGTTCACGTACGCCGATGTCTAAGTTGTGGAATATGATCCCGAAAATAAACGTTAAGGGCTCCAAATCGAGCATTCACCATCTTAAAGATAGGGACCAATAATCAACTTATAAAGCAGATATTGCAATCAAACTTGTTGAAACTTTGGCGAAACATTCATACTCTTCTAATTTTGTCACCCCATTCCAAAAATATAAAAAAACAGACAGAGATGGGAAATATCAATTTAATTTTAGACACAGGGGAACATTTCAAATGTTCACAATTCATGAGTTCCATACTGGTCTTGGACTAGCTCCCGTTAATATACATTATCAAGCCTTGAAGCACTTACGAAAATCCTGTTTAGAGATCCTTTTAAACATTTTTGAAGACATTTGGACGTCGGGGAAATTCCCCTCTTCATGTCGTGATGCAAAACTGTCCCAGTACCTAAATCTGAACTTCAACAATACTGGTACTTCAAATAATCAACTCAATCCATCACCACGGCGTAAGGCTTTGCCTTAGGAGCCTTCAAAACCTCCCCAAATCATCGTTTATATGTAGCGGCTGATGAGCCATTGCTAAAACAACGCAGTTTTAAATCATCTTAACAGTATATTTCTAAAATACGTTCTATTAAGTCCAACCCTGCATATGACTGTGTTTTAATCCTCTTACAACTCTACAAGGCACCCGTGAAGAGCCACTTCTATCGTGGTGGGTGCTGGGTAACGCTAAGAGCTCTTTAACCCTCCGTGTGGACCCGGGGGCATATTTGGTTCACCAACCTGTTTGCCGTGGGTTGCGCCCCTGTGTCGGTGGAGGACGGGAGCCTGGTGGTTGAGGGCACTGGGAGCCTGGAACCGTGTTCCTTTTGCCCAACACACCACTTCGCCCCTTACTTCACCTACACGGGTGGTAGAACTGGCCCGGTTCTATCAATTGGCTGGTCACGCCATGCCCTGAGCATGGACATGTTCATGTTGACATTATTTTGCTTACATTGTATGTTGACACTGAATATTGTGCTTATTCTATTGTCAGTATAATAATTGCCTAGAGTCCTATTCCAGAAGGCGGTGGCTCATGGTCCAATCTGTTGATATTGCACCCCGAATTCTCTGTTTCTTGAAAAATGTGTCAAGGGCCGAACCAGCCTGGCACATGTTCTTTTGGATATCATAGCTATTCATGTCTTTATTTACTGGAGTATGACATCTCTGTAGCCCGGGTGTTACAGCCTGTCCGCCGCTGTATCGTCTTTGAGTGAGTGAGTGAGTGAGTGAGTGAGTGAGTGAGTATGTCTTTACGCAATATTCCAGCGATATCAAGGCAGGGGACACCAGAAATGGGCTTCACATATAGTAGTATACACATGGGACTACGGGACCAGGTCCCCCCAGTGGGCTCAATTTAAAAAATTGAGCCCTTGGGAAGTCCCTAATCCCATAGCCCCATTTTGTGTACTAGTACTGAGGTGCATGCAAAATTTGATGAAAATCGGTCAAATAGTTTCTGAAATACTGACTTTTAAGTGAGCATAGGGTCGGTCGGGAAAAGGCAAAATGTCCAAATTTTTTGTCGTAATTAAGTCTTAATTAATCTAATGAAGTCATCAAGAGTTTTGCTATAGCGTTATAAGAATCTTAGAATATTAGAATCTATGCGACACTTCTCCACACGGTGCAAAAGACGAGTGCAGGAACTATTGCCAGCACGATCCAAAAGATCAAAAGCACACCATCCTGGACAACACCAACTCGGTCGGCAACGATGTTAGAACGTGGGTAGAGACAACAAAGTCCAGCAAAACGATGCGCACCAAGCTGTACAACAAGTCGTTTGCAACTTCGAAGCTGGAGAAATCCGAGAACCGATTGGCGGCCATCTTGCTGACTACGTGGATTGTCCAAACGAGCATCTCCCGCAGCACCTTTCTCCACCCAGACGTACAACAACGAGGTTGCACTCACATAGAAGTGTCCCTGTACTCCTGCCAAGACACCGACATGTCCACCAACAGAGCAGAAAACGTTTTGCAAGATGTGTTGGAGCGGGTTTTGCCAGCAGGTGACGGTCTATTCCTAGTACAACCAGCAGTAGCGCAGTGGCTCCGTCTCGCAGAAAAGATAGACCGCTGTTTGGTCCTAGCCGACTGTCCACAGCATACGATCTTCATCGCGTGGTACGCACATTCGAAAATAGGTCGCGTGTCCGGAGTACACATTCGTCCAACCAACACAGATTCCTGGGAAAGAAACTTCGACTGGGCCATAGGAGACTTTGGTTTGAAGGGTTCCAATATTCCGCGTGGGCATCCTATCGTTAGAAGGAGATACAGTGGAACTAGGCCCACTCCGATGCTATGCCAAAGGCGAAGACACCAAGACGGTGCTAGCTGCCAGCAAGAAGCCAACAGCTCTACATCAATCCGGCATGGATCCAGACATATTTCTCCTGACAACTCCACACATCGAATGGCAATGGAGACAGAAAAAATGCCAAAAGCTGGGCAGAGAAAGATCCGACCAACCTTTCCAAGAAATGCCGAACATAGATGCCTATCGTAAAATTTCTACTCTGTCTACACAAACACGAGGAAGGAAATAGCTGGAGATACTGGAGTTCGAGAAGGCAGAAAATTGGCAACGAAGAGCCGAAAAGTCACTACAAAAGGAAATACAAATCCGGGGAGAACGAGCAGAACTACGTAAAAAGGAGATCGAAGCTCTGCAAGGCAGTTTCACAGAAGTCACAGCATACATCCAAAAACGGAGACAATCCCAACTGCTTGTGGAAAATGCTCTCCGCAATACGGATACAAACAAACTAAGGTCAATAGCCAGCCGATACGGCATTCTCAGCTTCCGAACCACCAACCATTCCACACGCATCGTCCTCCAATCGCGAACTGGCGAAACAAGCACTGTTTGGACTACGGCGGGGCTAGAAAGAGTACTACGACAACACGACTCCTACTTCGAGAGAAGGCTACGAAATCCATCGCCCAGGTATCTGGCCGCCAAAAACGCCTGCCATCCAGAAATGTGTAGACTTTCCAGAAGGGATCTATGCCATCAACAGGTTTGCAAAACAGATGTATCGTGGGACCGAGCGAATTATCTGACAGACAGAGTCTATAGCTTGATTAACGGTTACAGGCCGGAGAGCCACATTTCCGAAACAGATAGCCTTACTTGATGTGGCTCTCCCGGCAATAGTTACGGTTGCATGAACATGAAATGTGGCTCTCCCGGCTATGCTGTCAAACTGGCTTAGTGATTCAAACACGTTAACGTATTTAACAAAACAAGACATGTTTTCTCATAATTATATTTAGATCACAACAGGTTTTGTTTCTATTATTAGCACAATATAATATACTAATAGGTATATTACATATACTAATCATATCATATATTGATAATAAATATGAATCTGTAAAACAAACCGGATGTATTTGTAAACGCCTTTCATTATACTCAATCCTGGATCATATCAAAATCTGAATCAATCCTGAAAGACCAGTTTTTACAATCGTGGACCAGTGAAATGAATAATTCATCTAAAGGACAATATTATAGAATTTATAAACTCATCTTCACTCGACAAATACTTACTGCTATCTGAAAATAAATTGCCAATAGAAAGTAGGAGATGGACGAATCTCGCAAGTAAAGAAAGAGTATGTAACCCTTGTTACTCGCAGTTAACTGGGGATGAATTCCATTTCATCTTTAGATGTTCATATTTTAGCCAACAACGCATCACTCACCTAGAATATAGCTCTTGTTCCTTCCCTTATTTCTCTTCATATAAAAAAATGATGTCAAGTACTAAAATTTCAACAATCAATCACCTATCTAAATTTATCAAATGTATATGTTCTAGTTTTCAGTAATCATTGCGTATATTCCCTGTTACTTTCTTGTATACTTTGTATATTCTGCATTCTATTTTATGTACTCATGTACCACCGGAGGTGGTTCCATTTTGAGTAACAAACTCTGAGTGAAGAAGCTAAGCATCGCGCTTGTGAGTAGGAAAGATAATCAGTTTCTTGTGAAAACAATATTAAACAATGTGGTTTAGAATCATACAGAGGGACAATCTTTTACCGGTATTGCTAAACACCACGCTTGTGAGTAAGAAAGATTATTCGTTTCTTGTGAAAACAATATTATACATGGGGACACTCTTTTACCGGTTACGGTAATCCATGAA